GCTGGCGGTGGGTGACTCATCGCGGTTTGCGTTAGGTTTACCTTGTTTGATCTGTTTCCTCCTGCCTGACGGTGCTTGTGGGGAAGTGCTGGGGGCTGGTGGGGCTGCCCCAGGCTCCCCACCTGGACCGTGCCCCATTTCAGGCTGGTGCCTGATGCTGGGGCTCTTGCTGCACTCATCCAGTTGCTGCTCGGCCCCTGAAGCTGGGGACCTGCTGCTCCCGAGAGCCTCTGCAGTTAAGGTGGAAGCGGCGGCTCCCGCGGGGCTCCCTTTGCTTTGCTGGGAGTGGGCCATGTGTTTCGCTCGGTGGTTTGGAGCCTGGCTCTGAGAACCACCCTCAGATGTGGGGCTCACCAGCTTGGTCAGCGGGGCTGCGGGATGAGGATGGGCTACTCAAGGACGAAAAGCTCTTGTAGGGTCACACCCAGAACTGTAGATAATACTTGAATCCTGCTTCCTGCGCTGGCGGTGGGTGACTCATCGCGGTTTGCGTTAGGTTTACCTTGTTTGATCTGTTTCCTCCTGCCTGACGGTGCTTGTGGGGAAGTGCTGGGGGCTGGTGGGGCTGCCCCAGGCTCCCCACCTGGACCGTGCCCCATTTCAGGCTGGTGCCTGATGCTGGGGCTCTTGCTGCACTCATCCAGCTGCTGCTCTGTTAAACCCTTTGCCTATATTTTCATTCTTCAAAAACAGCCCAGCCAAGACTTAAAGATGCATTTAAGCTCAGGTGCTGTCCACAGTGCACCCAGAAAAGCAGGGTGCTTAGAGGAGGTGGCCCTGCAGAGCGGTGGGAGGAGATCATCGCTGGTTGAGTTCACCAGCAATAAGGAGAGAAATCCTCAAGGTATTCGCAGAGCAGTCAGGGAGGAGCAGCAGCCGTGGGCTTCTGGTGTGGAGCTGCACCTCCCCGAGAGCTGTTGTTTTCGGGACTGGCTGGCTGGAGGTGACTGTGCCCAAGGTCTGCAGAAGCTGGAAAGGTGGATGTCTCTGGAGAGGGCTGTGGTGGTTGTGTGACCCAGACTGGCTGATCACCCCTCTCTCTGCAGAGGAGGAGGGAAGGTGCAGAAAAAGCTCCTCTGGTGACCAAGGTGCTTGGAGTAGCTGTTGGCATGGAGTAGGTAACTGCATGTGGTGTCCTCACCTTGGAAAAGAGCTGCCTTCAGAGGGAAGCGTTAGACTGGGGTTGCATGGAGGTAGGCGAGTGGGCAGTGCGTGCTGGGGGACGCTACGTGAGGCTGAGAGCCCACCAGAAAGAAGGGCTTTCCCCATGGTTACACCAGGGAGCTGTAGAGCCCATGGCCGTGGAGAGGGCAGGAACGCAGGTGGGCTCCAGCAGTGATAAGATGAATCATTGACGACGAGGATGGGGATGTGCCGTCTGGCAGCCCCTGAAACCCACCTCACCAGAAGCTGGGCGGGCTCCGTGTGGCGCTGGGTCCATCCCAGCCTGCCCCTGCCCTGCCTTAGCAGCGGTGTGGGACACGGCCTGGGACGGGACAGGGGACTCCCAACCAGCGAACGATGTCCCAGCCCAGCAATACTTCAGACTGTCCATGAGAGTCACTGTTGCTTTATCCAAGGAGCCTCCATTCCTCCTGCTTATGAGCTGCCCGGTTTCTTCACCCCGTGGAGGCCAGGTCTCCGTCCGTGACGCTTTTCTTGCGCCCCAGCAAACCGCAGGCAGGGAGCTGCGAGGGTTGGGTCTGCCCAGGAGGACGATGGAGGAGCGTTGGCGCGTTGCGAGAGCGACCGTTCCCACGCGGTGCTGGGTGCCGGGTGTTCCTGCGCGGGACTCCCCGCAGACAGCCCTCACCTTCCCAGCCTCCGTGGAGGCCAGGTCTCCGTCCGTGACGCTTTTCTTGCGCCCCAGCAAACCGCAGGCAGGGAGCTGCGAGGGTTGGGTCTGCCCAGGAGGACGATGGAGGAGCGTTGGCGCGTTGCGAGAGCGACCGTTCCCACGCGGTGCTGGGTGCCGGGTGTTCCTGCGCGGGACTCCCCGCAGACAGCCCTCACCTTCCCAGCCTGCGCCGCGGCC